CTATAAGGTTTGGGGTTTAGGGTTTACGGGTCAGGGTTTAGGGTTGTCCTGGGCTATCGTAGATGATGCTGACAGAAGCCGCCAAAACACAAAATCCCGCGGCCCCCTCCCTAGAAGGGCCTTATCTCCCTAATGCCCTAAACCTTCCAAACCCAACTACCCCGAACCCAAAACCCCTAGCTACACTATTGGCACCCCAAAACCCCAAAGCCCAGAACCCGTAATGTTGCATCTCAGTCTATAGTAAGACCCAGAAAGACCCGTACATTACGTGAGGTAGCCCTAAACCCTACACCCCAACACCTTTTTGCTAAACCCTAACCCCTAAACTCGAAACCCCAAAACCCTAAACCGTGGCATGGACACCTCCGAGCTTTCTTCGCCACCACCGTGCTCCATCACTTCACTGAGTTGCACGACGGCTGCACACCACAGGGTTTAGGGTTGCTGTAAGCTTTAGAGCTTCTTTTTAGGATGTTACGCTTTGCGGCTCGAGGGATTCTGGGGATTCAGAGTTGTAGGATGTAGGGTTTAGGGCACGGGGGGTGGAGGCTGAGGTTAAATCCAGGGTGGCTTGGGGTTGCGAGTTGCATTCTCAAGTTGTATCTGCAACAGCCAGAATAAACTAGCTTGAATAGTAGGGTTTTCATTTCAGGGGTTGTTTTGCAAAATCGTACTCAGGAACCCCACAAGATACACAACTAATGGTTCGTCCGGGGGCTGTAAGGTTTAGAGTTTGACAATTGAGGTTGCAGGGACATGGAAACTACGTATACTACGATGAGACCACGTCGTGTGAATGGTCTACGAATGATCTTGCCTGTTTACACATCTAAAGCCCAGGGTGATGAGCAAACTGGCACCAATCCGATAACCCCAAGCTTAAACCACAAAGCTCACATGCAAACCTGCAAATCCGAAACCCCCAAGCTATAGCCGCGAAGACCAAAAATTCAAAGTCAAACCAAGGCACCTCATAACTTTCATCATGTACGGGCACCTGGTGCGGGCGGATTCAAGCCCTTCGGGGGTCCTTTGGCCCAATGCTCTTAACTGTCGTCATCATCGTCGTAGCAGTAGCAGTAGCA